ATCCCGGGAATGCTGACTGGGATCCCGAATCCCGGCAGGAGCGCGGGGGCTCCCTCCGGAGCGGGGCCGCTGGAGCTGTCGCTGTCCCTGGCGCTGCATCCCGGGGAATATTCCTACTTCAGCCCCCGCACGCTCTCCATGTGGGCCGGGCCCCAGCACTGGAGATTCCGGCCCCGCCACCACCGTGAGCGTCCGGAGAGATCCCGGGAATCCCGGGAATACGGGCGGGAATTCGGGATGAAGGGAGGGATCCCGGGAATACGGGAGGGAAGGGAGGGAATTTGGGATTCCGGGATGGAAGGGAGGGATCCCGGGATTCTGGGAGGGAAGGGAAAGGAATTTGAGATTCCAGGTGGGAAGGGAGGGAATTCGGGATTCTGGGATGGAAGGGAGGGAATTCGGGATTCCGGGATGGAAGGGAGGGAATTCGGGATTCCGGGATGGAAGGGAGGGATCCCGGGAATACGGGAGGGAATTCAGGATGAAGGGAGGGATCCCGGGAATTCGGGATGAAGGGAGGGATCCCGGGATTCTGGGATGGAAGGGAAAGGAATTTGGGATTCCGGGATGGAAGGGAGGGATCCCAGGAATACGGGAGGGAATTCGGGATGAAGGCAGGGAAGGGAGGGATGAAGGGAGGGAATTGAGGGAATTCAGGATCCTGGGATGGAAGGGAAAGGAATTTGGGATTCCGGGATGGAAGGGAGGGATCCCGGGATTCTGGGATGGAAGGGAAAGGAATTTGGGATTCCGGGATGGAAGGGAGGGATCCCGGGATTCTGGGATGGAAGGGAAAGGAATTTGGGATTCCGGGATGGAAGGGAGGGATCCCGGGATTCTGGGATGGAAGGGAAAGGAATTTGGGATTCCGGGATGGAAGGGAGGGATCCCGGGATTCTGGGATGGAAGGGAAAGGAATTTGGGATTCCGGGATGGAAGGGAGGGATCCCGGGATTCTGGGATGGAAGGGAAAGGAATTTGGGATTCCGGGATGGAAGGGAGGGATCCCGGGATTCTGGGATGGAAGGGAAAGGAATTTGGGATTCCGGGATGGAAGGGAGGGATCCCGGGATTCTGGGATGGAAGGGAAAGGAATTTGGGATTCCGGGATGGAAGGGAGGGATCCCGGGATTCTGGGATGGAAGGGAAAGGAATTTGGGATTCCGGGATGGAAGGGAGGGATCCCGGGATTCTGGGATGGAAGGGAAAGGAATTTGGGATTCCGGGATGGAAGGGAGGGATCCCGGGATTCTGGGATGGAAGGGAAAGGAATTTGGGATTCCGGGATGGAAGGGAGGGATCCCGGGATTCTGGGATGGAAGGGAAAGGAATTTGGGATTCCGGGATGGAAGGGAGGGATCCCGGGATTCTGGGATGGAAGGGAAAGGAATTTGGGATTCCGGGATGGAAGGGAGGGATCCCGGGATTCTGGGATGGAAGGGAAAGGAATTTGGGATTCCGGGATGGAAGGGAGGGATCCCGGGATTCTGGGATGGAAGGGAAAGGAATTTGGGATTCCGGGATGGAAGGGAGGGATCCCGGGATTCTGGGATGGAAGGGAAAGGAATTTGGGATTCCGGGATGGAAGGGAGGGATCCCGGGATTCTGGGATGGAAGGGAAAGGAATTTGGGATTCCGGGATGGAAGGGAGGGATCCCGGGATTCTGGGATGGAAGGGAAAGGAATTTGGGATTCCGGGATGGAAGGGAGGGATCCCGGGATTCTGGGATGGAAGGGAAAGGAATTTGGGATTCCGGGATGGAAGGGAGGGATCCCGGGATTCTGGGATGGAAGGGAAAGGAATTTGGGATTCCGGGATGGAAGGGAGGGATCCCGGGATTCTGGGATGGAAGGGAAAGGAATTTGGGATTCCGGGATGGAAGGGAGGGATCCCGGGATTCTGGGATGGAAGGGAAAGGAATTTGGGATTCCGGGATGGAAGGGAGGGATCCCGGGATTCTGGGATGGAAGGGAAAGGAATTTGGGATTCCGGGATGGAAGGGAGGGATCCCGGGATTCTGGGATGGAAGGGAAAGGAATTTGGGATTCCGGGATGGAAGGGAGGGATCCCGGGATTCTGGGATGGAAGGGAAAGGAATTTGGGATTCCGGGATGGAAGGGAGGGATCCCGGGATTCTGGGATGGAAGGGAAAGGAATTTGGGATTCCGGGATGGAAGGGAGGGATCCCGGGATTCTGGGATGGAAGGGAAAGGAATTTGGGATTCCGGGATGGAAGGGAGGGATCCCGGGATTCTGGGATGGAAGGGAAAGGAATTTGGGATTCCGGGATGGAAGGGAGGGATCCCGGGATTCTGGGATGGAAGGGAAAGGAATTTGGGATTCCGGGATGGAAGGGAGGGATCCCGGGATTCTGGGATGGAAGGGAAAGGAATTTGGGATTCCGGGATGGAAGGGAGGGATCCCGGGATTCTGGGATGGAAGGGAAAGGAATTTGGGATTCCGGGATGGAAGGGAGGGATCCCGGGATTCTGGGATGGAAGGGAAAGGAATTTGGGATTCCGGGATGGAAGGGAGGGATCCCGGGATTCTGGGATGGAAGGGAAAGGAATTTGGGATTCCGGGATGGAAGGGAGGGATCCCGGGATTCTGGGATGGAAGGGAAAGGAATTTGGGATTCCGGGATGGAAGGGAGGGATCCCGGGATTCTGGGATGGAAGGGAAAGGAATTTGGGATTCCGGGATGGAAGGGAGGGATCCCGGGATTCTGGGATGGAAGGGAAAGGAATTTGGGATTCCGGGATGGAAGGGAGGGATCCCGGGATTCTGGGATGGAAGGGAAAGGAATTTGGGATTCCGGGATGGAAGGGAGGGATCCCGGGATTCTGGGATGGAAGGGAAAGGAATTTGGGATTCCGGGATGGAAGGGAGGGATCCCGGGATTCTGGGATGGAAGGGAAAGGAATTTGGGATTCCGGGATGGAAGGGAGGGATCCCGGGATTCTGGGATGGAAGGGAAAGGAATTTGGGATTCCGGGATGGAAGGGAGGGATCCCGGGATTCTGGGATGGAAGGGAAAGGAATTTGGGATTCCGGGATGGAAGGGAGGGATCCCGGGATTCTGGGATGGAAGGGAAAGGAATTTGGGATTCCGGGATGGAAGGGAGGGATCCCGGGATTCTGGGATGGAAGGGAAAGGAATTTGGGATTCCGGGATGGAAGGGAGGGATCCCGGGATTCTGGGATGGAAGGGAAAGGAATTTGGGATTCCGGGATGGAAGGGAGGGATCCCGGGATTCTGGGATGGAAGGGAAAGGAATTTGGGATTCCGGGATGGAAGGGAGGGATCCCGGGATTCTGGGATGGAAGGGAAAGGAATTTGGGATTCCGGGATGGAAGGGAGGGATCCCGGGATTCTGGGATGGAAGGGAAAGGAATTTGGGATTCCGGGATGGAAGGGAGGGATCCCGGGATTCTGGGATGGAAGGGAAAGGAATTTGGGATTCCGGGATGGAAGGGAGGGATCCCGGGATTCTGGGATGGAAGGGAAAGGAATTTGGGATTCCGGGATGGAAGGGAGGGATCCCGGGATTCTGGGATGGAAGGGAAAGGAATTTGGGATTCCGGGATGGAAGGGAGGGATCCCGGGATTCTGGGATGGAAGGGAAAGGAATTTGGGATTCCGGGATGGAAGGGAGGGATCCCGGGATTCTGGGATGGAAGGGAAAGGAATTTGGGATTCCGGGATGGAAGGGAGGGATCCCGGGATTCTGGGATGGAAGGGAAAGGAATTTGGGATTCCGGGATGGAAGGGAGGGATCCCGGGATTCTGGGATGGAAGGGAAAGGAATTTGGGATTCCGGGATGGAAGGGAGGGATCCCGGGATTCTGGGATGGAAGGGAAAGGAATTTGGGATTCCGGGATGGAAGGGAGGGATCCCGGGATTCTGGGATGGAAGGGAAAGGAATTTGGGATTCCGGGATGGAAGGGAGGGATCCCGGGATTCTGGGATGGAAGGGAAAGGAATTTGGGATTCCGGGATGGAAGGGAGGGATCCCGGGATTCTGGGATGGAAGGGAAAGGAATTTGGGATTCCGGGATGGAAGGGAGGGATCCCGGGATTCTGGGATGGAAGGGAAAGGAATTTGGGATTCCGGGATGGAAGGGAGGGATCCCGGGATTCTGGGATGGAAGGGAAAGGAATTTGGGATTCCGGGATGGAAGGGAGGGATCCCGGGATTCTGGGATGGAAGGGAAAGGAATTTGGGATTCCGGGATGGAAGGGAGGGATCCCGGGATTCTGGGATGGAAGGGAAAGGAATTTGGGATTCCGGGATGGAAGGGAGGGATCCCGGGATTCTGGGATGGAAGGGAAAGGAATTTGGGATTCCGGGATGGAAGGGAGGGATCCCGGGATTCTGGGATGGAAGGGAAAGGAATTTGGGATTCCGGGATGGAAGGGAGGGATCCCGGGATTCTGGGATGGAAGGGAAAGGAATTTGGGATTCCGGGATGGAAGGGAGGGATCCCGGGATTCTGGGATGGAAGGGAAAGGAATTTGGGATTCCGGGATGGAAGGGAGGGATCCCGGGATTCTGGGATGGAAGGGAAAGGAATTTGGGATTCCGGGATGGAAGGGAGGGATCCCGGGATTCTGGGATGGAAGGGAAAGGAATTTGGGATTCCGGGATGGAAGGGAGGGATCCCGGGATTCTGGGATGGAAGGGAAAGGAATTTGGGATTCCGGGATGGAAGGGAGGGATCCCGGGATTCTGGGATGGAAGGGAAAGGAATTTGGGATTCCGGGATGGAAGGGAGGGATCCCGGGATTCTGGGATGGAAGGGAAAGGAATTTGGGATTCCGGGATGGAAGGGAGGGATCCCGGGATTCTGGGATGGAAGGGAAAGGAATTTGGGATTCCGGGATGGAAGGGAGGGATCCCGGGATTCTGGGATGGAAGGGAAAGGAATTTGGGATTCCGGGATGGAAGGGAGGGATCCCGGGATTCTGGGATGGAAGGGAAAGGAATTTGGGATTCCGGGATGGAAGGGAGGGATCCCGGGATTCTGGGATGGAAGGGAAAGGAATTTGGGATTCCGGGATGGAAGGGAGGGATCCCGGGATTCTGGGATGGAAGGGAAAGGAATTTGGGATTCCGGGATGGAAGGGAGGGATCCCGGGATTCTGGGATGGAAGGGAAAGGAATTTGGGATTCCGGGATGGAAGGGAGGGATCCCGGGATTCTGGGATGGAAGGGAAAGGAATTTGGGATTCCGGGATGGAAGGGAGGGATCCCGGGATTCTGGGATGGAAGGGAAAGGAATTTGGGATTCCGGGATGGAAGGGAGGGATCCCGGGATTCTGGGATGGAAGGGAAAGGAATTTGGGATTCCGGGATGGAAGGGAGGGATCCCGGGATTCTGGGATGGAAGGGAAAGGAATTTGGGATTCCGGGATGGAAGGGAGGGAATCCCGGGATTCTGAGAGGGCATTCGGGATGAAGGCAGGGAATTCGGGATTCCAGGAGGGAATTCGGGATTCCGGGAGGGAATTGAGGGAATTCAGGATCCTGGGATGGAAGGGAGGGAATCCCGGGATTCTGGGAGGGCATTCGGGATCCTGGGCTGGAAGGGAAGGGAATTTGAGATTCCAGGTGGGAAGGGAGGAAATTTGGGATTCTGGGAGGGAAGAGAGGGATCCCGGGAATCCGGGAGGGAATTCGGGATTCTGGGAGGGAAGGGAGGGATGAAGGGAGGGAATTGAGGGAATTCAGGATCCTGGGATGGAAGGGAGGGAATCCTGGGATTCTGGGAGGGAAGGGAGGGAAATCCGGGATTCTGGGAGGGAATTCAGGATTCTGGGAGGGAATTCAGGATTCCGGGAGGGAATTTGGGATTCCGGGAGGGAATTCACAATTCTGGGAGGGAATCCCGGAATTCTGGGAGGGAAGGGAGGGAATTGAGGATTCCGGGAGGGAATTGAGGATTCTGGGCTGGAAGGGCTCCAGTCCTGGGGTGACATTTGGGATGTTCCGGTTGGGAGTGAGCAGGGCCGGGCCCCAGGCAGGCACAGCTCCTTCCCAAATCCCAAATCCCAAATCCCATCCCAAATCCCAATCCCATCCATCCCATCCCATCAATCCCATCCTAAATCCCAAATCCCAATCCCATCCCAAATCCCAATCCCATCCCATCAATCCCATCCCAAATCCCATCCCAAATCCCAATCCCATCCATCCCATCCCATCAATCCCATCCCAAATCCCAAATCCCAAATCCCATCAATCCCAAATCCCATCCCATCAATCCCATCCCATCAATCCCATCCCATCAATCCCATCTGAAATCCCAAATCCCATCCCAAATCCCAAATCCCAATCCCATCCCATCAATCCCATCCCAAATCCCAAATCCCATTCATCCCATCCCATGGATCCCATCCCAGATCCCAAATCCACTCCCATCCCACCCCATGGATCCCATCCCAATCCCGTGGATCTCATCCCAAATCCCATCCCAAATCCCATGGATCCCATCCCATGGATCCCATCCCATGGATCCCAAATCCCATGGATCCCACCCCATGGATCCCA